ATAGTGGTGTGCTACGTATTAACGACATTTACGATAGAAATGCAGGCAGGCTGATGCCACCCGATCAACTGACAGGAAAATATGGCATTGGGAACTTCCTTTTGTGGCATAGAATCTTAAAAGCAATCCCAAAGGAATGGAAACAAATACTGCGTGAGAAAAGACCGAGGGTGAGAGAAGTAAGGCCGGAGATATATGTTACTTTACAGGAAACTATAAAGGTTGCAAAGTGGGCATATTCCGCACTTATGAAATCAAATAAGCTGTCTTGTCCTCGCAAAGCACAAACCAAATGGGAGCAGGAACTGCAAGGAGTGCAAAGCTCTTGGCCATCAGTCTTTAAGATACTATATAAAAGTACACAAGATTTTAAACTGAAATGGTTGCAACTGCGTATCCTGCATCGAATATTGCCTACCAATAGAGTACTTAATTGGATGAAAATAAAAGAGTCTAGCATGTGTGATCGTTGCTTTGAGCCCAACGAGGATATATATCATGTTTTTTTTTGGGTTGTAAGGACGCAAAGAAATTTTGGATGAGACTGAAACATACGCTTGTTTTACCGAAAAATTTCACACCAGAAGATATCCTTTTAGGTAACGTAACTGGTAAAGGAAAATGGACGGCAGCCCCCTTACGCGTGTGTGTACTATTAGGAAAACAGTTTATATGGCAATGTCGATGGTCTGGTGAAGAGCAAAGCGTACAGCGGTTTTCTTTGTATCTTGCAAAGTATATATCAGTTGAGAAATGCATCGTAGCACGCAGAGGGGGAAGAAAAAGGTTCGATGAAACTTTTGGGTTACTGTGGGAAGCCTTGTGTACGAGTAGTACTTTTTTTTTTTTTACAAAACGTTTTATTATTTTCTAGAATATAGACATATTTACACCACCGCACGCAATGACAGTCTTCGAGTGAACATCCACAACAGCGCCTCACCCTGTACCTGAGTTGCAATAATGAGTTGCCATTGGAGCAAACACACACCATTTCCAGAACACGGCTCATGGCTTGCCCCACGGCAGACGCGGCTCTTCCACATCAATCAGGCTCTTGGAGCGTTCACTATATACCACGCATGATTTGTCTCGGCTAAACGGTGATGAAGCAGACGAAGCACGCGTCTGAATGGGGATGAGAATATCAACTGAATCCGCGGAGCCATCGTCTCAAACTGGCCAACCCTAGCCACACAGCCACTCTAGCACAGAGTAAAGCATATTGTACAATGTTCGCTCGCGGGACAGCGCTATGATAGCCACCCCTACAGCGGTCTGCGGGGGACGGCGCTCCCAGACGCACCGGCCACTTAGACTGGCGCCATCCAGACACCCCTCCGTTGAAAAGGTTAGTTTAAAAGATATGCACCCTCATATATACACTTACATTTCGACACGGTACATTGTCTGTCACCTGCTACAAGCGACCTCACAGACCAGCACATCACTGGCATACAAAGACATAAAGGCAAGAAGTGACATTCTCGACACCTACTCATTCAAGGCTTCCTTCATTGGTACACCTTCACAGCCCTCAAGTGCCAGAGCGGTAGCTAGGACACATCCAGATTACTCCACTGGGAACTTCCAATGCCTCGCACATCGTTACTTCAATCTAACATCGCTGTTTAGAGTTGATGCTGACCATTACGACCCACCTCTTAAGTACACATGATTCACATAATGGCATCCACACAGCATCATACACATAAAACGCACCCCACTCCTCTTTGAAGACCTTTGTCTTTTAAACACTTGCTTATTTATAATAGATGCGCGCATGTCAGCGCAGCCTCGCAATAATCCAGTCCGAACATCAACTCGAATCCAGGCGGCGTGTCATTATCCAGCCCTCGCTTTCCGTCCCAGCCCGGGTAAGTTTGTTAACCTCCATGCTCTTCTGCATGTCCTCGCCACCCGAGTGACTCCCTTCTCAGTTGGAGAAGCGTTGTTTCTTGGGGTACTCCCTGGTGCAGTGCTTGTTGACGTTGCGGTACTGGCGCAGCATGTAGAGGGTCTGCAGCTCCTTGGCGATGTTGTCGCACTTGCCGAGCAGCTGGCGGATCTGCTCCGGGTCCTCCACGGCCTTGTTCTTCTCGAACGCCGCGCGCAGGGTGTCGCGGAAGTGGTTGTAGCCCTTGGGGTAGTTCTTGCCCAGATGCAGCAAGTTCTTGTAGGCCTGGATGACCTTGCCCCTAGACTGGTTGGCAGCCATTGCACGATCCCACTGAGCTTGAAGAGTCGGACCTGAGGAGTTGCGCCGCCAGCGACGGTTGGCCCGAGCCCCCTCGCCCCTCCGGACCGCCGCCTGCTACTCGAATCGTACGAGTAGTACTTGATTGTGCAATGGACAGACGTGGGCTCAGGATTGGAAGGGGGAGGAGTGTATGTAGTGGGATTCCTGTTCTAGGTACAAACAAAAAATCAGCCACCGCTCCCATGACCCATCCGGGCCAACCCGGGACCGGCCTCTTTGACTAAGGCCGGTCGGCCGGCCGGGCGTGCGGGGCGCCGGCCCTACAAGTCGACGGCTCACACGCCCGGCCGGTGGATAGGGGGCGCCGCCCGCGATACCCCTTCGCCGGGCGGCGCGGGCGGTGGCTGATGGCCCACGGTGGCTGATGGCAGGCGGGCCACACCACGTCGCGTGGTGGTGACGAGCTATACTTTTATAGCTCGGCCGCCGCCCAATCAAAATGCAGATGAAATGTGGCGGGTGCACACCGCAACGTTATGTTGATGCTCATGTGGGGTTGAGGGGGTTGTTTGCCGTGCTCGATGCCGCTACTTATCTCCCGTCTTGCCAGCTGTACAGGGGACTAAGCGTGGAAGGCTGTGTCTCACATGGTGTATGTCTGTATGTTCGTGTTTGGGGGACACCGGTGTGACAATTTCGTAACCCGTGTTCTCGGATATATGTAATAAACATATGGGAAAAAAAAATAAAAAAAAGAGAGATCTTAGGGGGGGGGGGGGCAAAATGGCCCCCCCCCCCAACGGGGCGCGTTGCTCGGCAGAGCCCAACGGGGCGCGGGTTAAAAAGAATGGGCCAAAATCCAGTATTTTCATAACCGAGATGAGATACCTAGCCACCCAGACAAAGTAGAATCACGTATAGGTAACCTTTTTGTTACGTCTTGATATCTTTAAAAATGAAGATGTTAGCGGCGCTTGAAATTCTGCTGTTTCTGAAGCGAAAATGGCGTAACGTGACGTCACTTATACCGTAAACGTCATTTTCTAAAAAAAAAAATCCGACAGATTTCGCTCAAATTTCCAGGAAACGTGTTAACCCGCGCCGGGCCGCGGTGCTCCGCGACTTTCGCGCCGGGCCGGGGAGGTGTCTGAACACCTCCTCCCCCCGTCTAACTCGGCTCCTGGGCCACGTAGCAACACGCGGTAAGCGGCATTTGAAAGAGCGTCAAAAATAATGACGGAAATATTTTAGTCATTTTTTTTGGGTCAGGCCAAAGGTCAGGTCACAAGAGTCATCAAAAGTCAAATGTAGTCCATTTCAACAATTTTGGAAACTGCCAACGGCTTACTCGGGAACCAATAGAGCTACAGCGCCGCAAAAAGCTCACTCGATAGCGCTTTTACAGACCTTTCTGATTATTCTTCTTAAATTTGACCTCAGGTCAACGATTTAGCCTCCAGAGGGCAAAAACTGTAAAAATAGCAGTTTTCATGAAAATGATTTTTGTCAATAACTTTTGACTCAAGAGAGCCACGACATTACTTTTGGAAGCATCGTGTAACTCCCGTCGATACGCGTCAAATGAACTATTTGTTGATTTGAAAGGTTATTTTGAATATTTGACCTTAGGTCAAGGTCCTGACCGGAAAACATGTTGCATAACAGTCGATCCGTATCGTCGAGCTGAATACAACTGACGTGTTTTCATCGCTCTAGCACGTCTTCATCAAAAGTTGTACCTAGCAAAAAAAAAAAACTGCTGATGACCGTTCATGACCTGACTGAGATGACCTCAGGGGCACACAGAGGGGTCACTGGTGCATTTTCCCGATTCAGTGTGTCATGTTTACCTATGAGCCGATGTTAGAGAGGGTTTTGAACATCATTCGTCCAAAAGAGGCGCATTTCAATTTTCTCCCATTGACAGAGGTCGCAAAATGACCAAAATGACCTGGTCACGGATATCAAAATTCCGAGATAAAATTTTTTAACTCTTATGAATCTCTGAAACTCTCAAGGCGATCGTTCAGTCGCTGTAGCTATGACGAGGATTGAAACTTTTTCTGAGATGAGGTCACTTGACCTGACCTGGTGACCTGACCTCTAGAGCCCTGGATCTGAAATTTTCACAACATACGTGGAAAAGATGCATGAACAGGTATCTGCGAAAAACCGCAGGGGGGGGGGGGTGTTCAAACACCCCCAGCCCGGCGCGGGTTAAATTGATGCATGATAAGGTACCGAAAGTTTGACGTCGCTGGTGTAACGCGTTTAGAAGTTATTGGCGAAAAACGGGAGGGGGCAGATTCTGACCCCCTCCCCCCCCCCCCCAGCGGGGTGCGCCGCGGGTTATGACTTGGTCACTGCCCACTTGTCAGTCTATCGTGGAACACTCCATTTGTGTGATATCCTCTGATCGCCAGGGCTGTGATGAGTGTGAACTCGTCGGGGGCATCAGGGGGGGGGGGGGGGGCGTAGGACCTGCACCCAGCCGCCTGGTAACGGGCCGGGCTGCTGACCGAGGGGGGAGGGGGAGGGGGAGGGGGAGGTATCAAGGCTGGCCGTCAGTGGCGCGTCCAGGACAGGCTGGCTGAGGGTGCTGCGGGCACGGGGAGGGGAGGGCTGGCCGCCAGTGGCGCGCTCAGGAGATGCTGTCCGGGGTGCCGCTGCTGTTCACCGAGCTGGTCCTCTGATAGCACGTCCCCGTCCTAATGCATGTATCGGCCCACTCGGCGTGTGACGTGCCGCCCGGTCCGGCGTGGCTGGCGCCGCCTCTGGCCGCAGCCCTGCCGGCCCGCCGCCAGCCGCCGACGTTGGACGGACGCCAGTAGCACGTGGTTGGCCGCGGCAGCTCCGGTGGACGGGTCCGAGCGCCGCCCCCACATCACAGACGACCGAGATGACGCGACCGAGCGTGCTGGTGACCCGACCCGACATACCGCCCGAGGGCCTGGCGCTGCTCCGCGACAGGTGGGTGTCTGCTCCCCGCCAGAGGCGGGTCCCTGCTCCCCGTCAGAGGCCGGTCCCTGCTCCCCTGCATCCCTGCAGAGGTGGGTCCCTGCTTCGCGAGAGGTGGTTCCCTCCCTGCTCCCCGTCAGGGGCGGGTCACTGCTCGGTGAGAGGCGGGTCCCTGCTCCCCGTCAGAGGCGGGTCCCTGCTCCCCGCCAGACGCGGGTCCCTGCTCCCCGTCAGAGGCGGGTCCGTGGGTGACCGTGCCCCCCTTTGATTTTGGCATTTTAACATCAGCCCTATGGGCGTTGCATGGAAAGAATGGGATCAAAAGTCGGCAGTGCCCCCTTAATTGAAGGTGTTCCGCCGCCACTGGCGTCCGGCGCCTTCGAAAAGCCTGCTGGGAGAACGGTTACATACAAATGCGAGCGCCGAGCGGCGCGCCGTTCGAAATGTGTGACTCACAGTGGCGTATCCAGGGGGGAGGCCAAGAGGCCATGGCCTCCCCCTTTGGGATCAGACATGCAAGTGGGCCCTTTGGGTGCAGTGACGTACCCAAGGGGGGCCACAGGGGCCCCTGAGGTCCAATGATAACTCAGGGCCAGGGTGACCAGCGTGACGAAGGCGTTCTGGGTCTCCCTGCCTTAATTCCAGTACTAGACAGAACGTCTTTTACCCGGAAGAAAAACTATCAAAGAGCGATATCTATCACAGTGACGAACACAGAGGGCCCCTAACTACCTGAGAGCCCCTGGCTACCTGAAGGGCCCCTTGGTTACCTGAGGGTCCCCCTGGTCACCTGAGGAGCCCCTGGTTATCTGAGGGCCCCTGGTCAGTAATCTAGGGAGCCCCTAGTTACCTGAGGGCAGGGGCGGATCCAGGAAAACTCCAAGGGGAGGGTCATGAATCGAAGTGGTGCCCCTACCTATACCCAAAATTAAAAACTCAACGGATTTCGTCCACTTCATTTTGGTGGTGCCCCCATTTTCAGTTTTTTTTTCTTTTTAATTTTTATTTTTAGTCAGTATCTTAACTTTTGCCACAACCACATTTACCAATTGTAAGCAAGTATATATGAATGTGCTATGTGTATATATGTTGTGGACGCTGAGTAGTGAGTACTTACCAGGAACGTTATCAGGTAAGCGAATCGTTGTCAGTCCGACGAACTTGACCCTGGCGTCTAAAGGGTCTGTCCTTGACACTTCAGGCTTGTCAGGGGCACCAAAGTCCTTCCAGGGACACCACAAACCTGTCAGGGGCACCTACGGCCTTGTAGGGGCGCCACAGGCCCGCCAGGAAGCAGGGGCACCACAGGTCTAGCAAGTATACACGACAGGCCTGTCAGGGGCACAACGGGCCTGTTGGGCCCATGAGCACCCCTAGGGGCAGGGGCACCACAGTCCTTCCAGGGGCACCGCAGGCCTGTGAGGGGCACCAGCGGCCTAGCAGAGGCACCAGTCAACACAGGCCTGCCAGGGGCACCACAGACCTGCCAGGGGCACCAGAGGCCTGCCAGGAGCACCACCGACCTTGCAGGGGTAACTTGGGCCTGTCAGGGGCACCACGGGCCTGTCGAGAGGCACTTCAGGCTTTTCAGGGGCACCATAGTCCTCGGCCGGGCGCAGGGGTAGCAGGGGCACCAGAGGCCTGCCAGGGGCACTACAGGCCTAGTAAGGGCACCACTGGTCTATCAGGGACACCACGAGCCTGTCATAGCCAGGCATCTCAGGCTTGTCAAGGACCAGGGGCACCACAGGTCTGTGAGGGGCACCAGCGACCTAGCAGGGGCACCAGTCAACACAGGTCTGCCAGGGGCGCCACAGACCTGCCAGGGGCACCACAGACCTGCCAGGGGCACCAGAGGTCTGCCAGGGGCACCACCGGCCTCGCAGGGGCACCTTGGGCCTGTCAGGGGCACCACGGGCCTGCCGAGGGGCACTTCAGACTTTTCAGGGGCACCAGTCCTCTTAGGGCGCAGGGGTACCAGCGGCCTAGCAAGGGCACCAGAGGCCTGCCAGGGGCACCACAGGCCTAACAAGGGCACCACGGGCCTGTCAGGGGCACCTCAGGGTTGTCAGGGCCCAGGGACACCACAGTCCTTCCAAGGGCACCGCAAGCCTGTCAGGGGCACCAGAGGCCTGCCAGGGGCACCACAGGCCTGCCAGGGGCACCACAGGCCTAGCAAGGCACCACTGGCCTGTCATGGCCGGGCACCTCAGGCTTGTCAGGGCCCAGGGGCACCACAGTCCTTCCAGGGGCATTACAAGCCTGTCAGGGGCACCAGAGGCCTAGCAAGGGCACCACAGGCCTACCATGGACACCACAGGCCTGCCAGGGGCACCACCGGCCTTGCAGGGGCGCCTCAGGCCTGTCAGGGGCACCACGTGCCTGCCGGGGACACTTCAGGCTTGTCAGGGGCGTTACAGTCCTGTCAGGGCCCAGGGGCACCAGGCCCGTGGTGTCCCTGCTAGGCCTGTGGTGCCCCTGGTGGTCCTGTGGTGCCCCTGTCAGGACTGTGATACCCCTGATAGGCCGGTGGTGCCCCTGGCAGGTCTTTGGGCCCCCGGGCCTCAAGGGGGGGGCCATGACCCATGTGACCCCCCCCCCCTTGGATCCGCCCCTGCCTGAGGGGCCCCTGATTGTCCGAGAAGTTCCTGGTTGTCTAAGGGACCCCTTGGCTACCCGAGGAGCCCCTGGTCACCTGAGGGGCCCCTGGTTATCTGAGGGGCCCCTGGTTATCTGAGGGGCCCTGGTTACCTGAGGGCCCCTGGTCACGGAACCCCTGTTTACCTGAGGGGCCCCTGGTTACCTGAGGGACCCCTGGTTATCTGAAGAACTCCTGGTAAAGGACCCCTGGTTACGAGGGCCCCTGGTTATCTGAGGGGCCCCTGGTTACCCGAGGGGCCTCTGGTTACCTGAGGAGTTACCCCTGGTTATCGGAGGGGCCCCTAGTTACCCAAGGGGCCCCTGATCCCCTGGATGGCCCCTGGCCAGTCATCTGAAGAAGCCCTGGTCACCTAAGGGGCTCATGTTTACCCGAGGAGTACATGGTTATCTGAAGGACCTCTGCAGTCGCATGAAGGCCCATAGTTACCCGAGGAGCCCCTGGTATAGCCGGCTCCTGATTATATCAGAGGATCCCCTGGTCACGGTAACCTGGTGGGCCCCTGATCAATTGAAAAGCCCCTGCAGTCACCTGAGAGGCCCCTGATTACCTAGAGGGCCCCTGATCACTTGGATTCAATGGCATAGCCAGGGGGAGAGGGGACACGTGACGGTTTTATGGTTTAGGGTCCCCTCGGGCCCGAGGGGCCCTACGGTGCCAATTGACATCAGAGGGTTCGCGCTGGCCACGCGGCACGCTTCAACTGGAAAGGAGTGAAAGGACACCACGGGGCTTTTGAGAACACGTCATGAGCTCTTATGTAGCCACACTTATCTCCAGAAGGGCCCCACCCCAGGTTCTGAAGGACCTTGCCGCCCTCTGAGGTCCTTGAAGGCTAATGAGGGATCAGCTGTAAGGGCCCCACACCTGTTTGTTATGCCCCAACGGCCCACACCAATGTTTCTGAGGGCCATCACAATGGCGCCTGGGAGGGCCCTCGCCGCCACCTCTAAGGGCCCTACACCAGTGCCTCTTAACGGCCTACATCGGTGGCTCTGAAGGCCCGCTCACCGGCGCCTCCGAGGGCTCTGTACCAGCGCATCTAACGGCCACTTAGCAGCGACTCTGAGGGCCTCTTACCGGCATCTGATGTTCCCTTGCCGGCCTATAAAGGGCCACTAGTAACTTTCAGGGCCCCATACATGCCTATGACGGCCCCTACCAGCGTCTTTAAGCCCTAAGGCCCCGCAACGGCGCCTGTGTGGACCCCACATTAGCGCATCTGACGGCCTTTCACAGACACATCTCATCTGAGGGACCAACACCGGCGACTCTGAGGGGCTCGCTCGCTTCGCTTCTTCATAAAAGACCGTGCATTTTATGCACATTTCTCAGGGAAAATGAAATTTTTATCTGCCAATTTTCCACATTTTCTCATGGCTTAGACTGACAGACAGACAGGCAGACAGTGAGACAGACAGACAGAGGGGCCCGTCCGCAAGGGGGACCAGACCCACCGTGCCCAATCCCCCCATCGAAATGTTCTGGATACGTCCCTGCCTGGGTTGACAGTAGCCCCCAGGTAACCCGAGGCCCCTTCGAGAGCAGGTTGCCCCCTCCTGGGCGAAATCCTGGGTACGTGCATGCTTGGGTGTCCCAAGAGAAACGACCTTCAGGGCCTAATGCGAATTACTGGCCCAAGCTTAAATAAAGTCATTACGTCATTAAGTCATTAAATAAAGTCAACTACGTCAAACTATCATAAATTTGCCGTTTGATGGCCTTCAGAGGCCGTCTCAGGGCCCTCAGAGGCTGAGAACTAGCCCCAGAGGCTAGCGCTGAGGCCCTCAGAGGCCGCTTCAGTGGTCCTACAGAAGCTGAGACTTGGGCGTGGGACCCTTTGACGCTGGCATGGAACCCTAAGGAGCCTGCGCGCAGCCCAGCCGTGGAGCCCTCTAAGTCCATTGTGGGGCTTTCTAAGGCCAGTGTGGGACCCTCATGTTCAGTGTGGGGCTGTCTATGTCCAGCTTGGGGTTTTCTAAGCCCAGCGGCGTGGGGCCTTCTGAAGTCAGTTTGAGGTCCACTGGCCACTGAGACCAGCTTGGGGCCCTCTGAAGACAATGTGGAGCCCTCTGAGGCCAGTGTGAGGTCCTCTGTGACCAGCGTGAACCCTCTGAGGCCAGCGTGGGGCCAGCTGTCATCTGACTTCAGACGCTGGTGCTGGGCCCTCAGAAGCCAGCACGGGGCCTTCATGGGCTGGCGTCAGGCCATTAGAGGCCACTTCGAGGGCCTCGGCAGCCATACTTCAGATCATATGCATGTTTGAGCCCCCTGAGGTAGGAGTGGCCCTTAGAAGCCAGCGCGGAACCCTCAGAGGGCAGCATGGGCTTCTAGAGATCGGCGTGGGTTCGAG